CTGCAAGACCTAAGACGTGGCCAACCTGGAGCGGCAGGAGGCACCGTATTCAGCCTGAGCCCCGCCCACCTGTTGACGTAGAGGTTTTAGGAGCCCAGCGGACTTGAGACGCGCTGGGTTCCCAGAGCTGGAGAGTGAATAAGCTCACTGCTATCAAATTGATTGAGAAGCCCTGGTGGTGTCGTGTTTACACATTGAGCAGTTCAAAACCAGCAGCTCCGAGGGAAGAACGATGAGGCTTTCTACTCCCATAAGTCGCATAAACCCACAGGGGGATTGACTTGATGGCAGTCAGTGACCTAAGTTGTTAAGTCTTGAACTAGTTAGCCAGAAAGGTTTTGTTTTTGTTTTGTTTTATTTTCAAATAGGGTTGAATGAATACACTTATGCATTCTTCCAGGATAAAAATCTCACTGCCTCCCACTCAATTCTGACTCGTAGAAATCCTGCAGGACCGAATAGAACTGCCCTGGGGCTTTCCTTCCGAGACAGAGACCGTAGAAAGTCTGATCTTTCTCCCACCAAGCAGCTGGTGGCTTCGAAGTTCTCGTGTTGTGGTTAGCACCCCAATGAGTGACCTCTGTGCCACCAGAGCTCTGGAAATAAAGGTGCTCTTTCAAAATGGAGATGGTAATTAAGCTTGTTCTATGCATAGATAGCCACGTTTGCAAGCTCGTGAAACGTTCCTTGGACTTGAACTGCCGTCTTGTTCCATTGGAAGTGACATCATATAAACAACAGCCAGTGTCCACTCCAACATTGAGATCTTTTCATCTGAAGCCGTTGGTGTTTTATTCCCTGAATTTAAATTTGCTTTTGCTTTTTATGTCATCCTTTAAAATTCTAGGAACATCCATTTCTCTTTTAGAGTGAGTTATAAGTGGCTGATTATATAAATCCAGAACAGAGGGATTTATTCCTGAGTCATAGTCTTAATTTGTCATTGATTTTTTTGGTTAGTTTATTTCACTGAGCCATGTTTTATTACAGGATACCATGAAGTGGTTCTGCAA